TCTGTCAATCACACACTTCACTCTAAAATATTTTTCCCCTGTCGAACAGATTCAAGACTCCGTGGCTCAATAAATCCTGAGGCTGCTTGAACAGCAGCAGCTCCAGAGTATATATGAAGAGAAAACCAGTTTGTCCTCCTGTGTTTACATGAGCTGAACAATTACAGCGTATAGAAAAGCACCAGAGGAGTAAAGTAAAACAATCCTGCTTCACTTCCACTCTTCCTCTCAGAAAAGCTGAAATGAATCCGCTCAGTCTCTAGCCGGGGAAATGATCATTTCTCTGGTGAACTGTAACTTCTTGACCTTTAGTGACATTAAGTCCGGGAGCTCTCGCACATCAATCGTGTGTAAGGACTGTTCCTGCAGCCACTTCATCGCCAAAAGAAAGGGCAGCGAATGAGTTTCATTACGTGAGGAGTGTTGTTTTCTAATATGTCTCTTCTGTAAGTGATTTTATATTTGATGTGTTTCGATGTGTTTATGATCTATTTGACTCGAAATGATCATAATTTACTAAATGAGCATCAGCTGTATTGAAGAAGACTTGAAACTAGAGACTGAGACGTGGAAAAATTCTCAATGGTATTAAATAACTTTTGTGCTTTTCAAATTAAATTTAAATTAATTCAAGAGACAGGGCTAATTTGTGAAATTAACACATTTCTGATTGCTAAGATTAAACCAAATGTTTTAGTGTCTCTTGAGGCAGAAGCTGGAAATGAAATGAATTTAAAATATATATATATATCTATTTTTTGCTTTTAACCTTTAATGATAGGACAGAGTCACATCTGAACCTGAAACATAACATAAGTCATTATCTAGAAGCACAAACACTGTTCATATTTTAAAAGTCTGTTTCTTCTGTTTTTGGCACATAAGGAACATTAGATTGTTCTTCGTACTTCACTCTGAGGTCACTGCGACCAAAGCCTCGCTCTGTTTCACTCCCTCAGCTCTGAGGTGACAGTTCATGTATTAGTTTTTCCTTTTCATTTCAGATAAATCAAACTTTGTAAAAGTAATTTTCACAAAGTCTGACTGTCACTTACAGAGAAGGAACTGCTGACCTCCTCGCCTTGACCCCAGAAGGCTCCGTGATTCAGTATTGTTTCAGGTGGCAGCTGATTTGGCCTCTTTACTGCGACCTCTGACTCCCACAACGAACAAATCCAAATTTCTAAACCAGTCAAGCATCAGACTAATCTCTGGAAATGCTAGAATTTGACAGGCATGCATATAGAGAGCAGGAATAATGCTTGTGGGTTAACCGAAGATTAGCTGCATTGTTTAACAGGGTGGACTTGAACCCGGGGTGTGTTGGACTCTCCGACTCGCTGCTAATCCTGAGAGAGAGAGAACAGCTCTCCCCATCTGCACCAGCCTGAGTTGTGACAATTCAATCGGTTCTGCGTCTCCCTGCATGAATTATGGATAAACCCTGCAACTTCTGATTGTGTTGGGGATTCACACTTTATAACTCCTCACTGTGGATGTGAAAGAAGCTGGAATGAAAAGAGAAATCAAGGTAATTCACGGAGCATAAAGCAGATGAAATGCCAGTATTATTATCATCTGATGGCAGCCGCGCTGAATGACTCTTCTGTGCTGAAAGCCATTAGCAGAGCTCATTCAGAGAGGGCCCGGCCCTGACATCCCCCAAATAAGCAATTACTGGAGCGTCATTCTGTCTCAATGAACTGAGCCGTAAAATCTGCTCCTCCAGGTCAAATAAACAGAAAGATGTCACCAAAGACTCTTTAGGGGAACGAGTAGGGGAAGCAAAATGAATACGAGAGCAAAGTTTGCAAAGAATATCTTAATGCACATTAGTGAAACACAGTCTATGTACGGGTGGTGCGGCAGTGCAGTGGTCTTTCTGGGTGGAGTTTGCATGCTCTCTCCATGTCTGAGTGGGGGGG